ATTCTTTGAAAAAATTATTCGTTGGAAAAAGGTTGGGGGAAAGGGGTTGATTTTGTGATAATAGATATGCAAGCAGTGAGAGGAGGGGGCATAAAAAGTATACAGGTGTGTATGCTTTTAATGGGAAGGGTTTTTTTTCAATGGGAAGGGGTTCCTTAATCAGTGGCTTTACTGCATACATACTTTATGTATGTTCCCCTAAGATTTCCCCGTGAAGTCTTTCAAGTTTTCTAAACTAGCTGACATCTGTAATCCACAAAACAACGTCACAACAAATGGAACAGTTTCACAAATATTGTCAATATGATACTAGATTGGACAGAGAAACATATTTGCACTTTTATGGATTTATGGATTGGCGGTCTGTCAATGGTTAAAGACTAACTAACATTAAGTCTATAGTATTGTTTAGATCTCAAAATACTATCTTCAATTTTTTTTATTACTCTCTTTTATCATAATACCATCTTTTATCCTAAAATACGTATACTCACTAACTAAACCAATAAAGAAGTAATATGATGTAACTAAATGCAGTTACAGAAAAATAAAAAATAATATTTAAATAAAAATAAAATAACTGCAATGAAATATTAAAAGTAAAGTATTCAATACAAATAATTAAATTTTTAAATAAGGCTAACAAATAAAATATCTTGGAAGATTTACAAACCTAACTTTATAGTAACATCTAAGTTTTAAAGCATTTTCAATAGCTTCATAACTTGTGCTGAAAAATCTACACGAAAGTGATTAAAATGTAGCTACTCTTGTTAGAGTACTGAAAATATAACTGTTCATCGACTAGGTCTTCTCTAATTGTCAGCATAATATTGTTATTACTTTCATAATTACTGCTTTTAATATCGGTGGCAAGTTCTTAAATCCTTTCAGCTGCATTTATAGATTATCAGTCCTAATATAGTAGTTCCTATTATTATGGATTTTAGTTCTATTAAGTAAGGTGACCATATTTGAAAAACACCAGACGCGTACAAGGAATAAATTTGGTATGAATAAATACAAATAGTATTTAAATCAGGCCCGTAGCCTGACTTAAATACCATTTCTTTAACGGGGAAGCATCTTTTGAAGAGGCGCCAAAAATAAAATAAATATAGAGGCGCCCAAGGGTAATTTTATTTTGCGTCTATATTCACTAGGGTGGATCGATTTTTAAAGCAAAAAAAAAAAAGTTTAAAAATCAATATTCCTGAGACACGCGAATCGATGTCTATTAATTATAAGATGAAAGTAGAAAAATATTTTTTGATTTTGATGAGATCTTGAGGTTCCTCTTTATATTCTAAATCCTTGACGGATCCTAATATTTTTGAATTTGTTTTTTTTCTAAACTATATCAACCTTGGACTCAAAAAAAGCAGAAAAAAATGCTTCTTTTTATCAATAATAATTTTATTAAAAAAAATTTTTTTAGTAAAAAAAATATTTGCAAAAATATACATTAAAACCCCCGTTTTGATGAAGACGGGGTTTTTTAATAAAAAAAACAACATTATTTTTTTCTCTTAAGTTTTAAATTAAAACAAATATTATATTCAAAATAAGCGTATTATTCTGCTTCTTTTGAGTACCAGGTTGATATAGTTTAGATCCAAAGAGGAACCTCTAAAACTCATTTAAATTAAAAAAAAAAAAAAAGTAAGGTTTTTTTTTCATCAAAAGACATCGATTCGCAGATCACGCAAATCAAATTTCAAAAATTTTAAAAATCGATCCAACCTGAATATTATTCACTTATTTTTTGATAAGATTTTGCATAAATTTAATAAAACGATTAGTTAAATTTTTTTATTTTCAAGACGGTTACGCCTTGCCATTTTTTGTGTTGTACTAACATTTTTTAAATATATGTTTAATTTCAATTTAGTGACCAAACAGGGCAAAGCGCAGGAGAGCACGTGCCCCCCTCACTCCCGTCCTGCCTATGGGTCTGGTTTGATAATGGATTTTAGTAAAAACTCGTTTATTTTTTTTTTAAATAGCATATGAAGAAACTAAATTATGGAAAAATTATTAAACATTATTTGCATTTTTAAATCACAAATATTTTTCATAAAAATGAATTGTTTTCAGCAACATATCATCTTTTTCAATTTTTTCTGCAAATTCTGAGCAGCTATATTTTCTTAAATTAAATTTAACAAACAAAATAGCTGCCTTTCATTGTCATTAAATGTGATTTCTATTGATTTTTTCAAAAATGTTATAATTTCAATCCATTCAACTTTACAGTTAAGTAAAGACCATTTAAAAACTTCAACCTTATTAAAGTGACGCGTTCACTTATTTATATACTCTAGACAGACACTGTAAAAAATGTCTACTTCTTTTAGAAATTGGTTTTTTTAAATGATGACTTCGTTCTTCGGTAACTTGCAAATGTTGTCTTACCATAAAAGGCAGAAATTTTTCTTTTTTTCTAGATTTTATCTGGTGTTTTAAATCCTTTAATACTACGGCAACTTCAGCAGCAGAAATATCATCTTTCTCAATTTTTTTTACCGTGTTATAAAAAACATTGGCTTGACTGTAAACGAAAAACAATACTTTTTCACTCATTTCGTTATTAAAAAAGTCAAATAAAAGTTTCGGACAATTTTCTAAACTTAAAAAGTATGATCTTAGTGGCTGATATAACTTAAGCACTTTTTCGATAGCTAGAAGTGAGGCCAACCAACGAACCTTTGAGAATCCTAGCAGTTTTTGATATTCCACACCGGCCTCATTGCAGAAATTTTCTAAACTAGAAACTCGAACAGTAAAATGGTAAAAAAAAAAATTGAGGAATAATGATCTCCACATCAATAGATAAACAACCGGATGCAGTGTTTATTACGTTTGATAAAATATGAGCATTACAACCGATACCAATGATTTTACGGTTTAGCTTAACGATTAATTTTTTATGAATATTGTTATTACCGTTTCGTTTTAAACCTCCGAAATTTTTGAAGAAATATTGTTAGCCTCCGAAAACTTTTGAAGAAATATTGTTAGCACTGATGCATTTAAAAATAACTTCTGATATAATTCCTAATGTTTTTCTATTTACACAATCCATGTTAATCAGCTGAATTTGCACTCTTTAACATCAAAACAACGAGCCAAAGTTGAATACATTTTAACGTCCTTGTGCATCAGAAAGAATTGACTCATACAATGCTTTTAATAAAGCATTTTCCGAGTTACTTTCACAGTGTTTCTTGAACACGTTTACAATTATTGCTTCACATTTTGTACGCGCACATGCAAATCTTGGATTATAAAATTTCTTAATTAGCTTTGATGTACAATAAGCACTTCTAAAGCTATGGTTGTGTTTGATTGTGTGGAATGTAATAGTTCCTTCTTGAATGGCTAATATTTTTTCGTTTTGACCGAAGCCTTGACTCTTCATCAACTTTGTGATTTTGTTTGACGATATAGAATCATCCAATGCCATTTTGTGCTTGATAGATTTGCAATGATTTTCAAATGCAGACCGTCCACGACTACTATTGCCAAATAGGCTTTGACAAATGATACATTTGAGGAGCTCATCTTTGATCTGCGTTAAGAAAGGAAACATTTTTTTTAATCTATCGTTAAATGTGTTTAACCTTCTCTTCTTACTATTCATATTTTGAATTTGATGTGTAAATAGTTATAAAAACCCTAAATTACTTTTTTATGAACACTAATTTTTATGAACTTCTTATTAAAATAAATCGCGAAGCGTTATTTACAATAATTAGAGCAAGAAGACATTATAAGACAAACAAAATTTTTGTAAAACGAGCGCAATTTCTTTGTCGTGGTTGGAAAATCTTTTGAAGAATTTTTTTTCTTCTCTAAAGGGAATTTTAAAAGCTTTTTTTTTTTTAATATTTATTACGAGAATTTAATTCATTTTGTTTCGTGTTTTATAGTTAAGTTCATTGGAATTTCATTCATTTTGTTTTTTAACAATTTTTTAGAAAATTCATTTATAAAAGTCTTTCAAATAATGTTTTTTAAAATAATTTTTATTTGCTTTTTTTTAATATATAAACGCGTACAAACCCCAAACGCGCAAAACTACCGTTAAACGCTTACTGTACGCGCCAAGCGCGTACGTAAGGTCACCTTATATTAAGTCCTTAAGGACTTAATATAAGGTGACCTTACGTACGTATATGTTGAAGTTAAAAATTTTGGTTGCTTAAATAACAGTTAATAGAACTTAATAGGATTCTATTAAGTTCTATTAACTGTTATTTAAGCAACCAAAATTTTTAACTTCTACATATACAACATAATTACAAAGGGTATTTATTAACTATGCTAATTTAAGTCTTTCTACAAGCATGGCTAATTCATTTGTACTTTGCTTCTATATCTACCCAGCAAACATGTCAGCGTTGTATCAACGTTGAAAACCGGTCGCAAAAGATGTTGCGGAAACGTTGACAAAGTAATCGATTTTGCAAAGATATGTAACGTTGTAAAAGAGTCGTTGATTAAACGTTGTAGCGTAACGTTGAAAAAACGTTACTAATAGACGTTATTAAAATGTCGCAACTAAACGTTGAAAAAGCGTTACTTAAAAAGCGTTGCATGAGCGTCGCAATTTAACGTTGAAAAAACGTTACTTGAAAAGCGTTACTGTGACGTTGTTAAAGCAGTCGATTTTGCAAGGATTTTTAACGTTGGCAGTAAAACGTCGATTTTACGTGACTCAAAGACGTCGAATAAAGGTTGAAATATAACGTTGAATCAACGCTTAAATGCGCTGGAGAAAACATCGCAAAATGTTATTAAATGTAATTAAACTATGCTATGATATATATTGAATTGTCAAATAAAACTAAATTGTATGTTGAGCTCTGTACTTGTAATATTTCTAAAATCGATTTTTAATACAAACAGTAATATGCAATGAAAAATTTAAAAATATACAATGTATATAAAATATAAAATTTATAGATATATAGATAAAAATATTTAACGGTACAAAATAAAAGATTTATGTGTGTAAGTGTATTACCAAGATATCGATTCGATAGGTCAGGATATTATTGAGATACAGAATCAAAAAATCTAAATCAAAAAGTAAAACTTGTATCATTAGCAGTCTGATAGCAAATGTTTAAAACAATGTTCTTGAATTAGAATGATCATTCTTAAATTTAAAAAGTAAAAATAAATATATATACATATAAAAAATTTATATATATATATATATATATATATATATATATATTGTTCTTCGTAATAGCATAATTATTTTAAATTTAAAATTCATTTTATATTTTGTATATATATGCATATACATATACATGATCATCATCATCATCATCATCATCATCATCATCATCATCATCATCATCATCATCATCATCATCATCATCATCATCATCATCATCATCATCATCATCATCATCATCATCATCATCAACAGCATAAAAGCAAAAAGCTTGACGATGATAAGGAAAATTATGATGATGATCATCATTATCATCATAATCATGATCATCATCATCACCATTAGGCTTTAGCCTTACTCTTTTAAGCTGTTTTCCTAATATAAACAATCTAGTACACTTTTATTCCTAACTAAAGCTTATTTATACAAAATGTAAGGTAAACTCTTCAACTTTTCTTACTTCTATACATTTTATACTGAAGTTGCTACCACTCTACATGTTGATACCTAAATTACTTTCACCTTTTCTAAAAAAAATCTAAGATTATGCCTTCTTTTTATGTCTTGTTAGAGCCACACCACACATCCATCTGATCATCTTCCCTTTTGGCAAATACTACACCATATAAATACTCCAGTTTATATAACAATGAAAGGATATTGTATGCCAGCATCTAAACAAATAGCAAACAGATATGATTATATCCGTAATGTGTGTGCAAAAAGTGCATCTTGGAGACTTATATTGCTTCTGGAATAAAAGTTTGGAAGCTTTTATTACTTCTCTTCAGTTTTAAGTCGAGCCACATTCTACTTTACATCTTTCAACATTAATCACTTTTTTTATCTTTTTTATAAGAACATCTCTCTTAAGAACAAATTATCCTTTTTATTATTACAATAAGCAAATTTATAAATAAAGTCTAGTCTGATGTAAATCTCTGTTATTCTCAATTTACTAAACCTTGTATCTTTTCTTAAATGTTAGGTTCAAGAGACTTTTGGTTAGTTTTCAGCATTGTTATTAACTCAAGTAAGTCTAACGTTTATTTTCTAAATCATGGGTCTGATCTTTTTACTTTACCCCAGAGTAAAGCAGAGCTATTTACAAAGAAATCCTACTATCATTTTCTCTCGAATGTAATTGACATACTCTTCCTGACAGTTAAACAGAATAATCCATTGTTAAGCATCTTAATTACTCTGGCTTCCAATACTAAAACTAATTCTCAATTAAACTCTTCTACCATTTGTGCTTCAGACAAGATTTCCATCATAGTCTTAAAAAAGTGTTCTTCAGAACTCTCAACAATTTTCGCTAAACTTTTAAAAAGTGCTAAATACATGGTTCAAATTTTTCAAAACTCTAGAAAACACCTTGACCTCTCCAAGTATCCTACAACTACTCTTCACTCTGTTTTCAGTTTCTTCTAATTTTCTATGTAAAAGTTTTGAGGTTATTAAATTATTTCTTTCTAACTGCAGTAGTAAAGTTATTCTTGAAGGCCTACCCTCTTCTTTATTTCAAGTAACTTTAAGAGAACCACAAGGTTCTATATTTGCTCATGTAATATATTTTATCTACAATAACAACCATAATGAAATCCAAAGTGAATAAATTTGTTGATGAACCCACTTTACACTCTTGTCTTGATAAAAAATCATCTTTAATTGCTTAGAACAAGCAGCCAATTTTAAATCTGAGCTCCCTTCTGTGTCAGCCTAAGGCTTGCTGTGGCTTATGGATTTAAATTCTGGACTTAAAATCCACAAT